TCGGGTTTGATGAATCCGATATGGACAGGTCATTTAGGACTTTGAAAATAGCCGGAAGAATGGTGGCCAAGGACCAGTGGTGTCAGTGTTAGTTCCTAAATTATAGGTAAGGCTCGTGGGGATTTATAACTGTTTAGACCAGACTGATGACTATGATAACGTAAACAGAATATCCTCACCTCTTTTATGCTATCATGAATGGATACCGGCAAGTTTCGTAAACTAACCAAACCATTTCACACACCTTTGTTGAGTTTGCTCAAGAAAAGCTTAGGTTTTTTAAGAGAGTGGTTAGAGGCTACAGGGAACCTCCACATTTCAGAATTTGTTAAACTTGGTAGTCCTGGAGGAGTGGAAGAGCAAGATACCATTTCACATCTTGAAGCATGTGGAGGAGCGTGGAGAGGTTAATTTAGGACGTGCCGCTGAGCTGGCTGATGCATACGCCTTGCTGGTGGAGTCACTGTGCCGTAGGGAACGTGGTACTTTCCAGCATGTTAGGTCCTCCTCTGATGATAACCTTGGGGACGTGAGTGGTAGGTTGAAAGGTTCCACACCTATCCCCCTTGATGCAACCAAGTTTTATTGTTCTTACTGTAAAAAACCAGGCCATACGATCCAGACTTGTAAACACCCAAAGTGTCGAACTGCTAAAAGTAGTTCCCTGGATCCCAAATTCAAACCAATAGCAAATACCAATGTGGAAAAGGCCCCCATCAGGATCTCTTCTTCATTCCTATGAAGGAAAATTTCAATCATAAGAGTCTCGTTCTTTATTCATGTCTGTGATACAGGGCGCAGCACAATCTATCCTCCTGTTTAACGTCATTCTGACCTGCTCTACACATTTCCCACTGGCAGAGTGTTCCTGTTCCAGATCTCTGTCCCATTCTTCCTATCCTTTAGCTAAGTGCACCTCCAATGTATGATTACTGAGGAAGTGCAAATAGCCATTAGGAAAGACCCAATGCCTGTGTGCGGCATTCATTTATTATTGGGTAATGACTTGGTAGGAGATCTAGTGGTTCCTAACATAAAGACAGTCGACTCTCCCTTACCTGTCAACTCCACCACTGACCTTGAAGAAACTATTCCTCGCCTTTTCCCATCTTGTGCTGTCACCCGGTCACAGAGTGTGCGAAATGGGCCCTCTTCATCTAAAACCACCTCCAATATCTTC